TTTTATTTTATTTTATTTTATTTTATTTTATTTATTTTTTTTTTTTTGCAAATTGACAAAGAAAAAGCCGCCGGAGCTAACTTTATAACTTGATTAAAATTATCTAGATGATAGGACAGGAATTAGTAGACTTAAATTAATGACTTTGATATTTTCAATAAGGACATTTGTCATAGACTATTTTTATTATTTACATTATTTTTACTGTGTTTACTACAATTGTCTCACAGTACGTGCTGGTAGTACCGCTGAACTAATATGGAAATCACCTATCGTAAAATGGTCGCCGATCCTAGTAAATATGTTTGTTTGATGTTATCCATCCATTTTTAGTCAACATGACGTAATATATCCACCTTTAGGTAGTTCCAAGAGCATTATTATTATTATTATTATTATTATTATTATTATTATTATTATTATTATATAATGTTTTAAAGACCACGTCGTAACATTCTGATTCATTTGATGAATCCATTCCGAAGTATTTATGTTAAAAATACAAGTATGGATGAACGCAGTGGCTGGCAATACGCGAAAATGTGTAAAATTAGCTACGAGGGGATATCAATGTTATTAATGTAATTTTCATAATCCTTAACACTCATTAATCATCAAAATGAACACGCCTCGTTGATTTTGCTTTGCGGTTTGCAGTTCAAGAAAGTGATTTGATATTTAGTCTCTCTCTCTCTCTCTCTCTCTCTCTCTCTTTTAATTTTCTCCCCTCTCCTCTCTCTCTTTCTCTCTTCTCTGACCTCGTGTATCCTCGGAGGTAATACGTAACGCTGAAATAAGCCACAACTTGAACTCTACCTCCAAAATTCCCGACAACACCTCAGTTAGGTAAGCAAAGAGTGTGCTGATGTTTTAGCAATGATGTTTTGGGAGGGCAACCTGTAGCGGATGTTTGCGCATGTGGGCTAAAAAATTACAAAGTCCTCTCCGCTCACCCCCTCATTTTCCCCTCAGCATCATGTGTGAGGCACGGGAGAGAAATGTGAAGTTCACTTAACACCATGCACGTTTAAATAAGCGCTTACTTTTTCGCAATGTTTTGGGGATATTTTGGCTGTTGTTTGAAGAAAATGAGATATTTTGAAAAGAGATGATCTATGAATAAACGAGACGACGAAAGACAGCAGCCAATTCACGAGTTTGTGAATAAACTCTTCCGTAAAATCTACAAGGAAATGAGTCATTTATTTAATTACCAATTGCCCGAAGTAAGTAGAGCTTACCAAGAAATTATTGGTTTATTTAATAAGCAAATCTTCGTTTCTCTAAAAGATCCAATTACGGCGCTAACTTTTGTTTAAAGATACAAACATATTCTGCAGACTTGCGTTTGAATTTTATTCTAGTCTTTAAACAAAACAGTATTATTATTTACAAACAGAAGGTTAACCTTTAGCGACAAAACTATGTGTTTATCACTGCAACTTGTTTCAGTTAGGGAAACATATAACTGAAGAAACAAACTTAATGCGTGAAATTTTCAAGACTATTTTTTTTAAAGAAAACTTCCGTAATTCTTCCCGAGAGCCCGTGCATCTCTGGCTGCAAATGCGGCAGCGGGCTCGCTCATATCACTCTCAGCGTTTTTACAACTGAGGTGGTCCGAAGAATAAAAATCATCTCTGACAGGATTATTTTGCGACTTAATGATCGAATGTGAGTTTTCGGAATTGATACGACAAAGGAAAAAAGAGACCCCGAGCAAACGCCACAAGTCTTTAAACAAAGTTAGCAGAGGTAATGACACGTTTATGGCGTAGTTACTCACAATTTGCCTACCGGGCCATAAAATGAATTTTTCCTACATATGAATAGGGGCCACTGTCGCAAAATGAAGAGTATTTATCAACTTGTCAAAGACAGGGACATTCACAAATCCTGTGCGTTAATAGGGGGTGTGGCAGCGTCCCCCGCGCTGATAAAAGCCAGGTCTAAGCAAGGACTGTGATGACTTCGTAGCTGCATAATATCGCGCGGTGACAGTTTGATAACTACGGCTACAAAAGTTCCATTCTGTGAGGAAATTGAAAAGTAAGCGACACACTACACACCGTCTATTCAATGAGCATCGGTGTCCCATTCATTGAAATAGAGCCCCATTTCGTAATGAAGGGGACAGTTAATTAGATACCTTCACACAGAAGAAGAGTGAGAGAGACAGCGAGCGAGTGAGCGAGCGAGAGAAGTGTATTGTAGGCTTGGGTAGCGTGTGCATGTTCGGGGAGCTAGAAGAAACGTAAATCTGTTTCGCGTTGTGTAGTACGCGGCGTCTACTTTCATTGCCTCCTCTGCCAACACGATCGCAAGCGATCTATTAAACTGATCGGTTATCACTAAACAAACAGACGCAGTGGGCCGCAGTCTTGGTGCATTACCGTGCTTCACGGATATTTTCTCCCGAGACCACAACTCCAGACGCCGCTTAATAGCCCGTCGATGAAAGTTTGAAATCGCAAAGTGCCAAAATAAACAATTAAACGAATTAACACTTGCTTAAGTTCGGCGCGTGAGTAACCCGAGACATTTGTCGACTGGCTCTCAGTCACCCGCGGTAACTCTTCCAAGTTCGCATTTTAAATCGCGTTACAGAAAAAGTTTTCTAAGATCGATTAAGGCACTAACTGCACTTAGTAAGACTATCATCAGCAATTCCTGCCAAAATACGAGCTCAGCGTCTTCACTCCATACCTCAAATGCTGGAAATGGTGCCTTAGTGCGCTCTCCTCACTTTGCAACGCGGCGTCTTATATCTTCAGCTTTCTGCATCATTGCTCTGGTGCTGAATTTTCGTGAAAAACTAACATTGTCTTGTCCAATTAAGCTAATTGGTTAAAATAGTTTCCCAAAAGTGGTCATGGCTATTAAGGACCGTTCGTTTTACTACAGCAGTAAAGAGAGTATTGTAACCAGAGCGAGGGAGGGAATATCTTGAGTAGTGATCGACAAAAAACACCCAGTTTCCAACCCGTTTCTAGCGTTCTTAGGTCCCGCGCGGCCCTGCACTCTGTCCAAGGCAATTTTCATGACAAGTTAAAGCAGAATTACAGTGGCAATCAAAGAATCGTTTACCAGCGTCTGGGGAACAGAGACTTAATCAACTTCACTCATCTGTTGAAAACGATTAAACTGACACGACCAATTAATTGGCATCTTATCCACCGCGTTCGCCTCCAGGCCCGCTTGGCCCGCCCTCTTTAATCGGAACAGCGTTGGAGGTCTGAGCCCCATGTCATTCGGACGCGTGATCTGGACGCGAGATTTGGCTCCGCATCACCCAACTCGCCAAAGTAGTACACAGCCCATTTAAGTATGGAGCTTGATCGGTAGAGAAATCACATGGGGGAACGGTGTAGTACAGAAATACCGTCGCGCATCGCCGAGAGTTAAAATTGATTAGAGATTTGGGGATTTGAATGCAAGTTAGCAAGAGACAGCGGTTTCACCAGCCAAGGGACTTGAGTGTAAAAATTCTAACTGCGAGTAAAAAAAGGATCGATAACTTGAAAGCTAAGCAGTCGTTACCAATTTCATCGACGATTGCGGAGTAAACAAAGCGCGGGTCTCTCTCACTCACTCTCTTTCTCACTGCGCTGAGGAAACTTGGATATCAATCTAAAGGAGGTGTGGCGAACAGCGCACAATACAACACACGCTCGTCAGTGTATTATATTCACTAGCTCGCAACAGCATGGAGGAGTTAGGTGTTAAAGATGTCCTCTGCGTCGCTGTTAAACCTATTCCTATACCAACGAGCTTTAAGAGACCTTCGGCGTTCACGATAGACGCAATCATGGGTAACAATAACAGTAACAGTAGCAGTAGTGACAGTGAGGAGCACAAGGACGATGACATGGCCATGGTTGATGATGACGAGGATGATGACAACGCTAACATTGATGTATGCTCCATTTCGTCACTCGGTAAGTCGCGGTGTACATGTACTTAGTTATATGGAGGTGTCCTTAAAAACTGTAAAACCATTTGCAATCACTGTTACATGTGTGTCGTTACAAACATGCATTTCTGGATTTATTATAAATATTTCCCCAGTAGTTTAAGTGTCAAATATTTTTTAACCATTTAATTCCGATGTGGTTGAATGCCTTGCTTGAGAACAAGACCATTATTTTGGAAAAAATTATTCTAGATTTGCTGTAAAGGCTATGTAAGATGTCCTTGTTATTCTTGTTGATTTAATATTATCTTAATGTCAGGGAGGCAGAGCGTGATATCTTACAGTTAAAGTCGGGGTTAAAGAGAACCCATGGAGGAAAAATAAATACTTGTATTTTTCAAGATAAATAGTATTCGAACTGGAATTACACTGAAAATATACATGCACATTTTAAGTCCCGGGTTAAAAGTTGAGGCACAAATCCAGTATATCTTTGCAACGTCTTGAAGCAGTACAAAAAGGAGTTTATTTTACGTGAGAAAATGTAGACAACTGACTAAGTGCGATGGTAAATATTTTCAAGAAGTTTACTAACACAAATAAAGTAAAAAAAGCATTTTGTACAAATAAGACGCGATGCCCGGGTATGTAGCAGTCACGTGTAATACTGTTGACAATTAAAATGGACCATATTTACATTAAATAAAATATCATTATTCATAAATATAAATAAGTCCAATTCAAGTTATGGAATGATAGTTATTTATTAAAAACCAAACCACCGTCTAAAAACTAGTTGTAGACTATACTGTATAATTGCAGTAATATAATTGCTTTTAAGGTATTTTGAATGAAAACAAATTCCTGCTGATAATAAGAAAGATGTTCCATTGCTTACCGCCCTAACCATTCTCATATTCAGCATGTCACATTAGAGAATTTACTATAACTTCGTTATTACCCCGGTAGACTATAGAAACCTGAGACAATTTCCAATAACATTTTAGGTTTTTTATCCCCATTTTGCGGTTTACTTTAAACCGCGTTCTGTTGTTGGCAGACTTATTTCAACACCAACACTGAAATCTTATATCTCGGCAACAGTTCTAGTTGTTGTATTTTTGCTAATCAAGCCCCATATCAGTCTACTAAGTCAGGGAGGCGAGGAAACTCAACTCGAAACTCTGAAACGTACAAAGGCCGTTTACCATTTTGATCAATACAAATTATATTAGCGAAGATTTAATTTTCACCCTTTCTTTGGCAATAAGTATAAACACTCGAAACAAGCAATCATATTTGTACAATGAAAATTTTATTGGAGGTAATGAATGGCATTAGTCGGCCAGTTAAATGGCAATTCAGGAGGCGGTGGGGAATGATATCTCATAAAAACGATGAGGCTATCTCTCTTGACACCGAAAATGTAAAAATAAAATCAACACGCTATACATTCATAGCGAAACAATGGCATCAATTTGAAAATTCTACAAATACCCGATGAAAAAAATATAGCGTTTTGATTCTCAGGACTTCTGATTCTGTGCGTCTTTAACTTGAATTATTTGTAACCGACTTCAAGGCATTGAATGACCTTTCATCGCTTCACGGCAGGTATCAACCACTTTATTCCCCCTCAATACTCCGTTGGATTTAAGAAATTCAACTAAGTTATTATTACCGGTGTCAATTTTCGGGAAAATCTGTCGGTTTTGTCGGTACCCCAATGCAGACCTTGTGATTATGACGAACAGAAGAATTGAAATAGATGAAAGCAAATGATCTCCTTGGTCATTCATGTGTCGAAAAGCGGCTTTATGCGTTAAGCGTTTCACAATTTTTGTGATGTAACTTCAATTTTCAAAGTTGTAATTTTCTTGTCATTGCCTCTGTTATGTCAGGGAGCTCTTACACCGTGTTAATCTCAATATCTTTTCGCCAGTATTGGGTGTCAAACATCACATTGCAGGACAATTAGTCAGATGGAAGATATTTTGTAGGAAAGTGCTCTGGGTCTCCATTGTTTGTGTAGTCTGGGCGAAAGTGGAAAATTGAGAGATGTCGACTGAAAACTTAACTGTATACATTCAATCAAATATCACTTAAAATTTTTCCTGGATCTTATGTTTAATCGATGTAATAGACCGTGTTTTGCTTGACTTTTTTGAACGAAGGAGCTGGTTTAATCAGGTTGCCAGTGATGACTAAGAAAAATAAATGAAAGCACGGTTCATGTCCTCTTATCTATAAACAACAAATTCATGACGGCCATTGCTGACTTAAACTGGCAAAATTGCGCATTTTGTCATGAGTTTGAGAAATGTTTACAAATCAAAGTAACAACAAACGACAACGTCTTTCCATCTAAAACTCTCTAGTTCAGCGAGTTTCTTCACGCCCAAACTTATCTAATGGACGCCAAAGTGACAGAACGCTGACAACAGATGACATCATGATGACAGCAGACGACATTTAACGTCACGTGCTGACAAGACAAGACAGGACCAAGCTGAACATCTTCTAAAACCACAATACTTTTCTTAATGCCCAGAATTTGGATGAAATACATTTACTCCTGGTTTGAGCGATAATTCTTAAAAGAAGTCCTCTTTGGCTGGATAACTATGATGCAGTTCAGTCAAGTGTTATTTGACGGTATGTACGCCTGTGGTAGGTTGTGAAGAAAAACGGACTTTACATTGGTTAAAAACGACGACAAGAACTACTATGCGAGATACAAAACACCTTGTGGCATGTCATACAAATGTACACCAAGCTTGATGGGCTGGGGTTCCGCAAACTCGGCCGTTGAAGGAGTTGTAACACCTTCTGCTACCAACCGCTGAAACACAAACAGCCATCCCAGATTAAATAATAAAAAAATGTTTCTGCTATAGTCTATTTGTCACTGCTACGGCGACATGAGGTCTTCTTTGCAAATGTATTTAGAGTCGAAGAAACCCTTTTAAAACAGAAAATGCCCAGATACGAAGAAATTATGTATCATTTTGAAAAACAGTTTTTCTGGCGTGCGTGTGCGTGTGTTTGTGATTTTTTTTTCAGTCGTCCACTGCCGCCGTAAAACCTGATGTAAAAGCCGAACATTTAGCAGTAATATAAAGGGCTGAATAATTAGGATAAATTACCATTTTCAAGCAATAATTAGTCACGTAAATGGGGAATAAATATTTGCTAATCACATTGTTCCTTGATTAATGCGATTATATAAACTTAATTGTCTGAGCCATTTTTTCCAAGTCAGTCTTATAAATTAGGTGTTGATATTGTCAGTATTTTCAGGCAGTGGTGATTTTAATCATTATTTTGGAGACATGTTTCGACAAAATAATAAGATGATAAACGAATTTGTTAAAAGGTAATTTCAAATATATTTAAGTAAATAGAGAAACAGATTTCATAATTCCAATTTAAGCCCTGCTGCTATAACCCTACTCATTTTTTATATACCGTTTGGCATAACTAAGCGTTTCTGAATTTCATTATGTCATCTTTGTATTAAAATTAGTTTGATTCTGTATGAGATACTGTATCAGTCAGGTTATTCGTTTCCAAATATTTTCAAATTTTATTTAATTTTGATAGCATATCTATAATGCTATAGCTATACGCTTTGATATATTTTCCAAGTTCATTAATAATTGATAGCATTATTTGTTAGCTATAGGCTTAGAAAGGAATTCAAAAAAGACACTTTTATTGATTGTGAACTTTTATTGATAAAAGAACACGAGGGCGTGGACTGATGACTGTAATATTTGGATATCTTGTCATTTAACTCACTTTTGCAGTAGCATTTCACGGGGCTCTTCTGACTTTGATGATTACAGTTTCCTTTAAAATCTATCACTGCTCTTTCCTTTCGTTCTTTCTTTCTTCCGGGCTCTTCTGGCTTTGATGATAAAACAATTTACTTCAAAAATCTTACACCGCACTTTTCCTTAGTTTGTCAACTAATTGTCAACAAACGACAGTTTGACTGTGTTCAAAACCGTACGAGTTAAATCCCTTCAACGCTGCTAAGACTACCGTTGTCTTTGAAGATAGTAATTTGGAGAAAAAAACGGCATTTTGTTGTAACTGTGTGTCTTCAAATGATGGTTGATCATTAGACGCCAAAGCAGTTACAACACATTAAAGACAAGCGACGGGGAAGCCTCAAAAAGACAACATGTTCAACAATTGAATCTTAAAAAGGAAATTAGAATAATGTATTTTACAATAAGCATGATAAAAGCGTATCACCGGTTGTGACAAATAGTGGCAATAGAAGTGTTTCGTGTCACTGTCATAATGGCGTGGGCGACCTTTGATGCCAAATCACGACGTCGTCAGCGATAGTAACTTTAGCGATTCCTTGCCTCACACTTACTGTAACAGTAACTTCGTGATCGACTAAAGTCATGCATCATTAACTCGGCGTTCTGCATGGCCTAGGGCGCTTGGTTATTTTTGTTAAGTATCTGTTGGTCAACAAATGATACATTGCCCAAGAGAACGAGTTTAAATGGATCTCAGCAGACTTTTAGGGTTATTAGTTAAAACAAGGCATTGCGAAATCTGGTAAAGACCAATTACTTACTTGATAAGGATTTCATCAAAATGAGAATATCGGCACCTTTTTGTGAATAATAAAACGTGATCAGAATAAAAACAAACATTCATCTGGAATTGGACTCTGTGAGTGGAGTCGGTAAAGAAATTTTATTCAACGAATCATTTGCACAATTTTATTTGAACCAAGGTGGAAATACAGTTTTGACTCTTTTATGCAAGTATTGCATACCGTAATTCAAAATATTGTTTTATAATCCAATGCTTATTATAATATATTGTTACATACGAACACCATTTCATTCTTATTATAATTTTTGAAAAATATTGGCAAACAAAAGAGAAATTTCCGGCTACTTCAAGAAGCAATAATTCTCTTTTTTTTCCTTTTTCCAGAGAGACTTGCCCACAATGCAAACGGCTTCACCACAAGTTCGTCAGCGGAGCTAACAAAAGCCGACACCAGCCCATCTAAGTCCGACAGCGCCTTCAAAACAGTGGTGAGCACAGAGAAAACTGGGAAGTCACGGAACGCACCGGACAGTAAGTCCACTAAGCCACTGGTCAGCGGGAGTGAGACGCTGGCCGGAGTGCACTGTCGTCTGGAAACGAAAGATTTGTGGGCGAAATTTCACGAACTGGGGACAGAGATGATCATTACTAAATCTGGAAGGTGAGATAAATGGTGCCTGTAAAATATCGTAATAATAATAATAATAATAATAATAATAATAATAATAATAATAATAATAATCAAATAGACGCAATGATTATAAAATAAGTAAACAATTTATCATTTTCAATGTGATTCAAGTTGACGTTTCTTGATCAAAGGTTTTGCCATGAGATAGCAACAACATGAAATACATGTAGATTATACTGTATTTTTTATATGCCTATTACATACTTATTTCGTGAAAAATATCAAGGAGAAAGATGAAGCTTGAGGATAAAAATGTAACACCTAAATTCGAGCAAACGGTACATGAAAATTAACAAAGATTCATCCAAAGTGAAAAACCGAAAATAAAGTTCCCCGAAGACGAAAATGTATATAGTAGAACGATTTTGAGATATTGGAGGAAAGGTTTAATGTGTTTGGAGCCCAGGGATTTGATGACTGTTGCTTGTTCATAGTTGTAACATGGTTTTCCTAGATTCATATCAAAGAATCAATGTAACGCGGTGGTAATGTCATATAACATTGCCCTCTGCCACCATATATAACGTGTGGTGACTAATTTATTCCGTCATAAATTAATTTAAATTTTGTAGTGATTTTTGCGGAAAATAAAGTGTGTGTTATTTGATAGTGATTGTGCTGGCGTGTTCTGCTCTCTCTCTCTCTCTCTCTCTCTCTCTCTGTGTGTGTGTGTGTGTGTGTGTGTGTGTGTGTGTGTGTTGGATGAGCATGTTTTGTTTTGTTGATGATTATGATACAGGTTTATCGACCGATTAACAGTCAGTGAAATACCAAGTTTGTTTAAGAGAACTTTGGTTGGTTTGAAAAAATAACTGAAAGATAAATTTTCAAACCTTGGTTATTTAAACTCGTTGGAGCTCACACCTTCGTGATTAGTTCGAGTGGCGTTTGGTTGAAGGATTCTTTTCGCACACGGAGGTAATGGGGACTTACGAACACTTAATGCTTCTAACTTTCTTGGTACTGCTTGCCTTGAAATAATCCAGTTCTCTGTTATTTTTCCCAAGGTGCCTCGGCGATAACACGCTTTGGATAACTTTCACTTAAAAGCTTGTCAATTTTCACCATTTTTCAATGTTAACAACGGCATGTTAATAATTTATTACTCTAATTTAATGCTTAATTACGTAAACCGATTTGGTTGATCTGGATTGATGTTTTGATTATGGCGCTATTTATGAAAATTAAAAAAGTATATTTTCCATAAATCAAGGGTAAAATCTGCGAGGCTGCAATTTCACTACTCTTGCTGAATTTGGGGTGGTAATACGATCTCCTAATAACCCCCAAAAGCACAAACATAACATTTTTAGTGCGGTAAACAGCCGTAGTGCTGCTTAGGTCTGGCAAGTGTCAAAAGCCAATTGGAAAGAAAACACAACCTTGCCGTCTGTTCAAGTTTTCAAACCTTTTAATTTAAAACCCAGATCGATAAATGTCCTTCTCTTAAATATTGACATTGCAGAATGCCGAGGGTTTGTGTAAGATGCTTGTTAGCGGGCTGGTTACCGGCGTTCGTAAGGGGAAGGGGAAATGTTTGCAAATTTTTGGAGAAGTTTTTGTGAATTTTTACCCTCCATCAACACCTATATGAAAGCTAAACACACGTGTTTGTTATGTCTTGCCAGTTCTCCCGGCAGGTTACGTGTGGGGGAATGCTGTTACGATCAGGGAGACTCGCTCATATTTTTAGCACTCTGCATCGGAAGTTTGAGCATCTGTGTGTAGAGATTTGGACGGTTTAGGTGAGGAAAAGACGCTAAAAAAATACAAACTCATTAATTGTGTAACATCGCTGGTAACAAGCCGTAAGAGCGCGTGGCGAGGGCGGCCATATTTGTTCTAGAACGCACCCCCATTCCGCTTGACGACGTTGTCCTCCATTCATTCAATATTTTACAAAGTTTACAACTAAAGAGGACGGCTTTATTTCCCCATTCATTGATATTCACCGCGTAAAGTCACCGTATCGCTATCGACTCACAATAGACAGGAACGTTCTCCTTTCTCTCGTACTTATTAATGGCAAACGCATATTCTTGTCGCGTTTGACATGATACGTTCTTCATGACGGCGTCTCCGTAGAAAGCTCCATTCTGAAAATCCGGGCTGAGAGAGAGAGAGAGAGAGGGGGGGGGGGGGGGTGCAAGCTTCATAGTTTTCGGATTAGACATCTGTGTTGTTTTTAGTTTTCAGTTCTCTGAGGATTGTGTTGCCTTGAAATACAAGTACAATTCTCTACCCGTAGGTGTGAAAAGGCAGTCAGATATAGAGTTCACATTATTTAGATTTTTCTCACCTCCTTACCTTAAATACCCTTATTTTGTACGTTGGGGATATTCGAGAACAATTCTTTTGTGCTGAGAATAAAAGTTAAAATACCTTTAACTTGACAGTGACGTACACAAATGTTGGCTTAAGTTGATCTGATCAGTCATGATATAGAATTATTGTCTTTATTTCCAAGATAACTTTATATAACGTGCACCGTTTGAAAAAGGTACCCAAGAATCCGTCCATTCGAAATAAAAACTAAGTTGAAAATTAACCCCTCTGATTCACGAAAAATGCAGAATTCTATTCCTTATTTTAAAAAGAAATATGGTAGTTTCTACAACTAAAGTATGGGTTTCTACGAATGGTTCGTCAACAATTTCAGTTTTATCATCACACTACCTTTAAGTGTCTGCAACGCCCTTTACATAACGTGGACATTTATCATCCCAGTTTTATTCGGTCAAAGTTGTTCACTCGCCAGCTTTCACATGTATGAATTTTCGAAAGGGCAGTTCGCAAGCAAATATTTACCTTTATACGCAGAAACGTTAACAGAACAACTAGATAATTATTTGATGACGTTTACCCTTTACCCCACGATTCTTTTATCCTCATTACTCTACAGTAATACACAATCCTTGCTTTATCCTTGAGGGCAATTATAGGAGTTTCTTCCTCTTCTTTTTCATTACTTTTCCTTTTTCAAAAAATCTTATTTTCTTTTATTTATTTATTTAATTAATTATTTATTTATTTCATCTTATTTTATTTTGTCTTCGGACAGTGAACAAAATGTATTTAATTAAAATTTTGATTGCAGGCGTATGTTTCCTACCCTACGAGTGTCGTTCAGCGGGCTGGAGTCAGATGCTAAGTACGCCGTCCTCATGGATGTTACACCAGTTGACGGCAAACGCTACCGTTACGCTTATCATCGCTCCTCGTGGTTGGTAGCGGGGAAGGCTGACCCTCCTCTTCCATCTCGGCTCCATATTCACCCGGACTCCACGTTCTCCGGGGAGCAGTTACACAAACAGACCGTGTCCTTCGAGAAAGTCAAACTGACCAATAACATGATGGACAAAACTGGACATGTGAGTGACCCATCTCTCTCCCTCTCTTTCTCTCTCTCTCTCTCTCTCTGTTCGGTAAAGATCATTTTAGCGTCGACCATGAAAACAGTTTGAATTTAAAAAATCATTAGTCATTTTGTTTTTCAGGAAAAAAATTAATTAATTTCCGCTTTGAAAAAAAATACAATAAAAACTAGACATAATTAGAACAGTCAGCAGTAGGCATATGTAGATCTGGAAGGTAGCTTTCCCTTCCAAACGGCTAAGACGTTATTTAGTTTCAAAGCATCCATTACTAAGGTACTTCAGGATGTCTCTTTAAGGATTTCAGAAAAGATCATCTGGACACCACTTCACTGACATGTCTGGCGTCCGTACTTTCATTGGTTAATTGTGCTGCTAAGACGCATTGTTTACACTTATTACCATGTCAGTGCGAGTCGTAAGTTAATGGTGCAGAGTTTATGAAACACTGCCGGACGCTTTCACGCACGTGCTCCACGTCACTTGTCCCCTACTTGTCAATCGGCGGGCTTTGTTGAAGTCTCTGGGAAAGTAGGGGAAAGCGAGGGTGATAAACCGAGATTAGACGTATCCGAATCTTTTTTTGAATTACTTGGGATGAGAATATGAGATGAGCTTAGCGTTACACGAGGGAGATGAAATACCAGGCTTAAGAATCACTTTCCAAATTACTTATCAAAGGTTATCTCGAATTTCATATGAAAATAAGACACGGGTGACAAACGAGTTTAAGGGTGAAATCAGGAAAAATCATTAATGTTTCTAAATTTTCTTAACTCAGACCCTCTTTTTAAATTGATGTTTTAAATTCTTTAAATATGCGAAAAGGGTTTAATGTTAAACATCGACTCGTTTGTTTAAATCCCACGTGTCATTACCATTACTCTTTCATAAGGAGAACAAAGGGCATCATGACAATATAATTAATTTGTATGATTAAAACAGCTAACAATGCAAAGAATACTAAGTACTGATACCATTGAAAGCCGTATGGGTCAACCCTGCCGTAATTTGTTACAAAGGATATCTTACTCAGGAACTGGAGAAACATGCACTTTGAATGTTCTCTTAAATAGTCAGATAACACATGGTACGTTCAGTTTAGTTTCGAATTTTGAAATTAAACGGAGAGTCATCAGCATTAACCCACGCCGGAGATATTATTATGCAAACGTCATGTTCATGTAATTGGTTTTGTGTCGTTTTGGTACATTTTTATTTAATTTTTTTGTTTTTAAACAAACAAGCTTAGGCTGAAATATTTTCATAACTTCAATGATTTTGAAAAAAAAGTTGATGATAAATATATAGTATTGGAGACTCTGAAATGATTCTTTTTGTTTGGAATGCAATTATCATGCGTCAAAGATCATTCTGTTTTATTCATATTAAACTATTGAGAATGTCTAACAATTCAATTGCGTGCAGGGAAATCGGTGTGATGTCAACCTATTTCTCAATTTCCGTAAAATGGGCTATTAGATCAGATTATCTTTTTTCACCCATCGTGAAGAGAACTATGCACCGTCCTGGGGTTTTCTTGATTTCTCGATTTCATATTTTTTTTAACCACGCGTTTTATGCTTAAGGAAATCTAAACCACTTATTTTCAGTTTTGCAGGGTTGCCAAGTTTTTCAAAGTGGGTAGATTAATTCCTTATCGTGTTATTAGAATAAAATGAAAGTTGGAAACAAAGGAGATCAATTGCCTAAATGCACTGATTGCACTTCGATACGCTGAAGATAACCAACGCTGAGGATATCTTGAAGAACACTCATGGAAATTAGATTAATACTTTTCGGGAATCTATGTAATTGGCAGTTTTGTCTAACTCTTTTCTAATTTTGATGACTATTCCTCACCATCACTATGTACTGATCCAATGAAAATATTTTCTCAAATCGGGATTTCGCTCTCAAGGCAAACAATTAAGCAAAAACCTACAGCTAATGTTCTTTTTCCAGATCGTGCTGAATTCTATGCACAAGTACCAGCCCCGGATCCACCTAGTAAAGCTAGCAGATACCACGCCAACCAACATTACAAGTCTGGACCACGAGGAACACAGGACATTCGTCTTCCCGGAAACTATGTTTATCGCAGTGACGGCTTACCAGAACCAACTGGTGAGTTGAACACCAACCTTAACAAGGATATTATTATTATTATTATTTTATTATTATTATTTAACTATTACCATGCTTGGCATGTCGCCCTAGATATTGTAGATATTTGTATTTCATAATTTTTCGTCTGTTTGTTCATGCAGTTATTCTTTTTTATGTATTCATTGTTGATTGAATTATTTGTTTTTTTTTCTTTCTTCTTATACCCTGTTTGTAGTAATAATATTATTAAAATTTTTATCGCAAGCATATTTCTTTCATCGTTATTATGCAAAAATCAATATTATGCAAATCGATAAAATTAAGTGAAAATACGAGATTTAAGGATACGGATGTCACAATAATTTATAATTATCAATACAATGTATGTTAATTGCTTTATTTTTTCTCGAAAATTTACAGATAACAAAGCTCAAGATAGAAAGCAACCCCTTTGCCAAAGGTTTTCGCGACTCTTCAAGACTGACTGATCTAGAGAGGTTCGTATCACGTGACGCACCCCCACTATTGAATTTCTCGACTTCAAAATCTAAAGATCGGTTAATATGTTGACGTCATTTAAAAGCAAACAAGGGCTTCATTATGTGGAAATGTTATTCTAGACCCTCTTCCCTTCGAGATCACAATCGCTATTAAGATGCTGGTCATGCTTCAAATTGAATTATAACAAAAAGAGTTAAATGTGTGGATTTGCGAGTAGCGTCTACACACCTTGGCAACGTTGATGAATGGTTGATAAATGCGAAGCTTGTTAAACGAACCGATCAATGTTAACACGGTAGAGGGTGGTTATGTCGCATACGCCATTGTTGGTGGCGATTTATGTTTAATTATCACGGCGTTATTACTAATAATAAAAACATTATCAGTGTAGTTGATGGTAGGAACGCCCTGTTAACATTTATGTTGGGTTTTACGATTCAAAGAGCAAATGGTCTGATTTCAATAGTAAATAACCCTCTTTTGCAAAACTTTGTGTTAAACATTCTAGTAAAACGTGTTCTGTCAGTAGGACATGGGAATGTATGTAAAGGGCGTTGCAGACACTTAAAGGTAGTGTTAGTTTAAACGGGTTGCTGTCAATCATTTTTGATATTTTGATATCACCTGACTTGTGTGCCTTTTTCAACAGCAAATTCTATCACGTTAAGGTCGAAGTAAGCCCACGACTTTCAACAACGTCTCTGTATGTTTATTTATACTGCCAATAAATCTGGGCTTATTTTAGCCATTTTGTTAGAAGTAGCAAAAAAAACAGTATGACTACTATTGTAATGCATTTTCAACAATTCCATAGTTTGAGTGACACCCAATTTATTCCATCGATTTGACTGACGTTGTCTCCCCCGGGGATTTCCTCTCCAGTTTTCCAGATTCCTCCGAATGTCACAGCATATTTCACTTGGCTCGACACATTACTTCAGGACACCAACAGTACGTGAACATTTTTTATGACCAGTATTTTATTGACCATATCTAAACAATATTATATCCATAATAATGATAGTAATCCATATTATATTATATCTATAATAATAATAATAGTAATCCATAATATATATATGTATCGCTTAAAAACAGCGGGACATTCCCCATTAAGGGTTGTTTTGACGTAGAACGACATTGCTTATCAAACTGTTGAAAATAAGAGGAAAAATTCTTGAAAAGAAGTCGAGTAAGAATGTCGGTAATTTTTGAATGACAAGACTAGTAATAAGTTCAGATGGGATTTTCACAAAAAGGGGGGTAAGGTCGTTTGATTCGCTAAGCTCGAATTCAAGAAATATTCCATAGGTGTTTTTGTTCATTCTTTGGTATTTATAGAGCAGAACAGTTTTCAGCAAGGTTCTCGATTTTTTTCTATCCAGCAGTTGTTTTGCGTTACATGATATTGTTTATGAGGGACGATATCAGTTTCGTTTGTCTCGACATCGAGCAATGTGGAGAGCGTCAAAAACATACACCCTTAATTCGATCTGAAACGCTAACAGAGTACCACTGCTGGCACGGTGACGACGTACGGTTTATCTTGATGGAGTAATTAGACATGCATATGTATAGAACAGCCGAGAGGTATATAGGATACTAATGCGTAAAAAAAACTGTTTTCTTAGTTTTGATAGTCTGTTTTACAGCATGTTAGGATACTTCGATGAAAGATATTTATATTACACCGACCAGTAAAGTGCGTGTCATTGGCTCTGTGGTATAATTTGTGTAATGACGCAATGATTGAACAGCGCAACCATACATAAGATTCTGCATTGTATGATTTTATATTTAGATATATATTAACATTATCAGATTATGTGAATTAGAATAGTTTTCTAGTACTGTAAATCTTAAGGAAAGTTCAAAGGAAAAACTGTCTTTGCGATAAGTATCTATAGATTACTAGTGTAAGAATAAACACAACTTTCAAAAAAGACCCTTTACGAGGTAGCGCCAACGGTTAACTAAATGGTTTATTTTTGTGGAAGCGACCTTAATATTTGAATATGCAAAGAGTCTGAGTAGTTTGAAGTATGTTGTGTCAAAATATGTCCTTTGTGCCGTCAATTTTGATAAGTTTAGAACATCGGTCCGATTTCAGTGATGTTACATAAAAGCAGTAATACAGCTGCTTCTGCCCTCTATGTGAAGTTGAATTTAAAAGTTAGAATTTTTACGCAGTAGATATACAAAGCTATAGTTTAGCAGCATGCCTTTAAGAATCAAATATAATTTTTCTTTTTGTAGAGACGGTATGGAAAATATGATACAGAATCACACGTACGCACGATCGCCCCTCAGAGCATACACAGAGACAGAGTTTGAGAATGCTTACCGAACGGCTGAGAGAGTAGGACAATTACCTTCTCCAGGTATATTACTTATATATGTAATCATTTAATCCAATATTTCTAACTTTTATCAATTTTTCATCAATTATTTCTTTTATTCTTCTTCTTTATATTAAAGCTTTGGATTATTCATTTATGGTCCAATGTTTTTATTTGTTATTCATTTACATGTATCTAATCAAGTACCAGTTGGTGGTTTTAATAAATATTCATATATTTATTTCTTTATTTATTTATGTCGTAAGTTAATTATGTGCTGTCTGGTTAGCGCAATATGTGTCTTATGTTATTTTACTTAATTTGATTTAAGTTATATGGATTTTTGTTTTATTTGGTGTTACAGAATAATTTATTTTAGTGCATTAATTTGTAAAAGAAAGTTATGCCCCCAAGTTCAATTAACATAAGGAATACATTTTGAGGAAAACTTAAAAAATATATTCAAGTGAAATTAAAGGGATAACAACTGTTTGTATGACACTTATATTTCACAATAAATATACTGTAAACAATATAATAAGTTCTATTTTACTACCAAAATGGCATTTATCGCAATTATTCTGGAATTTGTGCTTGACATCAGATCACGTGAACTCCATTGATGGCTACACTCTGTAATAATCTCTTAAGAGAATATTGCAAAAAACCAAACTTAAAAAAAACAACAGGGGCTAATTTTGAATGTCGGAATGGGTTCATTTACCATTGATAAGTATGGGAAAATTGTCCTTTACCCGAGGAAAATCCCTTTATTTGCCAAAATGAACAGTTGTTATCCCTTTAATTTATATAACATTTACTAGGCTTAAACAGTTACAAATGGGCTAAAAAAAACTTAGTAAGATCAATGGATTCGAGTAACTGTTAGGAAACTTTGAAATCTGTCAAGTCTAACTGTCATCAAATTTTTAAACCATTGCTTGCCTCCAAGCAGTGCATTATCACTGAGGTAAACGAAAAAGCTCAATTTGCAGAAATAAGATTTGATTGATTTATTGACTGTCTGATTAATATCTGCATCAGCCCTAATTACAATACAATTACACTGGTAGATTTTGGATGTTGCTAAGTAGGAAGCCCCAGGATAAAATAAAAGAAAAACCTTTGCCGAGCGCAGCTCGGGGATGAAAAATGCTTGGTTTTGCCTAGTTTTGTTTGTTATCTGTTTTTTATTTTTATTTTATCATTTTTATTTTATTGTTTTTAATTGGAGAGAGAAGGAGGGGGCGTAGGGTGAAGCATGCCCATTGTACCGTCCTTTCCAACTGCCACTGCCCCTAAAACCAACTTTCGTCCACATGTCTGTTTAATAAGTGAAAACAACTTGTAAATATTCAAAGGACATGTCTGTTTATGTTGCCATACATGGTTGTGTTATCTTGCCAAACTCTTGCATAATAACTCTTTTCATTTTGGAAAGTATTTTTTAGCAGTTTATGCTTTATGCTCTTGAATACTGTAGAGGCTAGGGATATGGAATAGTTATGATAAGCAAGGTTTCATTCCAACATGACAAACGAAACGCTGTATTATCTATATTGGGTATATTTTAAAATAATAGATTTCTGAAGTATTCCTTTGAACTTCTAAATAATGTTCATATTTTAAAATAACTAAAGCCGCTTAAGTCAGAAATAAAAAAGACAACAGATTTTGGAACTGGTTGGATATGTGTGCATGTTTACGTGTGTTTCTTTTATGTTTATTTCAGCAGGCACTGTATTTAAAGCCCCCCCTCCCCTGACGGCATTTTAAAAATTAGACAATAGTTCTGATTGATATATTTTGTGAATATTTTGTTATTCGTTTTACTTTTAGCAGACGCACTATCCAAGGGGCTCCCCGTGACGTCAGCGCCAAATGCGATGTACTTAACAGATTTATATCCAAAACTGTGGGGAAACTTCTTAGGACTACGGCTGCCATCGGCTCAGTTTGGGACAGCAGCAATGTACTCGCCTCAGCTAGCGGCGGCTGCAGCGTCCTCTGCTGGACTAGCTGGACTGAGTGACCCCTGGACATTATTTTATCATAGCTACAGAACATGCTTTCCGGCACTATATCCGGGCACTTCGCCGGCTGACGATAGGACGCGCGCTCACGTGGCACATACAATGCGCTACAGACCTTACATGATGCCACGCCAAAACATCAGAGAACACTCGCCAAAACATTCCGGCCTTCAAGGCAGCAACGAAACTGATTCTCAGGCCAAAGATGATTAGAGCATTCAGTCACGTCTATATACCTGTAACTACTACCAATAAGTAAGACGGTCAGGGAGTTAGTGTGTGTGTGAGAGAGAAAGAGCATGAGAGATATATTGGCTGATCTGTTAGTGGAATAAATTTGAGCTTCATTTAGGTGCAGGACGCCTAATATCTGAATGGTAAAAGTTTAGACTTGATGTCGCAGCCTTTACATGGATATTTTCCGTCTATGGGACAGATCAGCCTATTTGCTTCATTGGCGATATATCCCTATGTAAGGGCGAAGTGCTGAACCACTTTAGACTGAATAATATCAAACCAAAAAGAAACAAAAAGCATATAATCTCAAACCAAAAACAACATCAGAACCCGCTGTGATGTTCATTTTCATTTTCCTTGGCATCAATTATCACGCCATCAACGTCGCAGGTGCCCACTAGGAAATTGCCCATATTTTCAAGTAGCATTGATTTAATATTCAACAACCCGTATGTTCAGAACTATCAGGGGGCGTGCTCTAATTAGAGCAATTAATATTGTAAAAATTCAAGATTAACAAAGACAATTTTGCCTGAAACGTGTTCGTTGTAATGTGTTTGCTTTTAATCTTTGAAATATGTTATTACTGTATTTCATCGATATATTTTGACTGTATTTTCTGGAACCCGTTCGTGTCTATTTTTTGATATGAAGAAAATTGTTACTTCTATGTTATATGTCTACTGTCTTCCTTTGAAATCTGGTTACTCTTTCTCCATTTCTTCATTTTCTATTTGAATCCAAGTCCATCTATTGATAGCGTCTGCTGGTTAAGTTGAATGAAATAAGGCATAAGTCATATTGTCATTTGGCCATCTGTTTTTGTATTGATGCATATTACAAAATTGGCGTATAAAACGGTATCTGCATAAAATCTGTTGGTATGAAATAGTTGTAGAGAAGACAGAGAGCTGCTGACAGTGTCACACGTAGTTATATAAAGATATATGATGAAGTATTGAAAATGTAGGGCAGTTTTGTTTGATAAAATCCCATGTTTCTAAAATTGGCACCCCAAACGTTTTGTTTACATGTATATAATGCTAGAGTAAAAAACGGTGTTCTTATAAAAAGGTGCCAAAATATCGATGTATATTTTATCTTCTTTTATTTGTTTCATACATGTATATAACGTAATCTAGTAAATGTTTCTGGAATATGGCTGGTGTATTCTTCAGCATAACATGAATTCAGCTGTGCAGCATCATTGTCAAACCTTAAAACGACATAAATTTAGCAGAAGTGTTAATGTACTTTTGTCCTTTGGATACAGCATGATTGCGAGCACATGTGGGAGATACATATGTATCTTAACCTATGAGTACGTCTGCTGCTCAACGACCAACTTGTATTAAAACGAATTGGGTTATATTAATCAATGAAAACGCCGGTGAGTGTTGGTTAAATCAAAGTTAATTTTAGGAGATCAGGCTCATATGTTTATTGATGAGCAAAATATGTTGCATACAAGTTTAAGAGACAAGTTGGGTTAAAATATACGAATGTGAAATTATCTTTTTGTTGTTCTAATTTCCTTTTTTAAATCAAGGAAGTCGCGTTTTGACTCCCTTGTTTAAACCCAGACTGACTATATATTTGTGGCACGAATTAAGAATTTTAATTGGCAACCATGTTCAGCTTGAACGTGCTACTTTAAAAATGTTAACCTTTAATTCGTTTGATTTTTCTCACTTACGGCCACGTCCGGAGTGTAGCAAAATTAATGAATAGAGTAACCTATAGAGTTACCTATGAAAATTAGTCGTCAAAATAGGATTTGCAGATATATATGAAAAGCACGCTTAATTTTGATATTTCTCCTTATATGACTATATATCTGTTAGTTACGAGGTAGGAAGTTTGACTGAGATTAACATTATTGGTCTGCGTCCTGAGCTGCCGCTGAGCTCCCGGTTCCCAATAACTGTTAAAGGTGACAGATTGCAAACGCGGCTTAATGAGATTTAATGAAGTGGGAATTTAATACTTTTAAAGAGCATCTTGCGAACGCTACTCTCCTCCGCCATAATGTGACCCAAATTTAGCTGAAGTAATCGCTCCGGAGCGCGTCTCGGCCCAGCGTCGACAATTTGGGTAGTGAGCCGATTAATGAAATTTCTCAGCAGTCAAAAAGACTAAAATGGGGGAGATGACTTGTATTTATCAACTTGTCAAAACAAGAAAGAACAAGAAATCTAGAATTTTATAGGGGTGTGACAGAGTAGTTTCAAATTAGGAGCCAAGCTGGGCCCTATGAAATGTCCAAACCACACGCTAAGGTACAAAGGGATAATATTAGTGCTAGAGGCCCTTGCCGTCGTTAAGACAAATCTCCAAATTCAGATGATAACTTTCAAAAAGGTTAATTCGTGTTTTGTTGTATGATTTATTAGTTCAATGAAACTTCATTTTAGCTACAGAAATTGTTTTTCCAATCAGCAGCAAAAATATAAAAATAAAAAAATCAGTGACTTTTTGACAGCAGGGACTTTGGCTGCATCTTTATTGTTAGATAGCCATACATTTTCATCAAAACTTAACTAAAATTTAATTCTGATAGCAACCGAATTGTTGTCGATAAAATCAGTTATATTTGCTTAATATTACGTGAAATAACACTTCACGTTCATACAATGAACAATTTATGTCTCATAAAGATGCAAATTTGCATTTTTACATTAATTTGAAGGAGTACAATCAACAATTACGTTTTATAAGCTCACGAAAAATGATTTAAACATTTCCGAGATTTAATTTTCGAATTACAAAAAAATCTGGGTCATAAATAAAGAGAAAATGGGTATATACATTGCCATTGCTTTACTTATACAATCCTGAGAATTTCAACACGGTGGGCTCATACTTGGTTTTATCTGTATCTTTCACAAAGGATTTCTGTCGTCGTGACAGAAATCAGAGATGCCTTCTTAAACGCCGTAACCGACCAAATTATAAAGAGTATCCGATTTACCTTCAGAAACGAATCAAACCGCGTTTTCAAAGACTTCCGGTGTGACGACAAATGGCAATTGTAAAATTAACTCAATGAAATTAAGGAAATTTAACTTCCATTACAAATTACAAATTAGCGAACGTACCATAGGAACAGGGGTACTGTTTAATAAGACACGGGTACTGTGTGTGTGCGCGTTTAGAGGAGGGTGATTAATTCCCATCAACCTACCGCGCGTTCACTGCTTCAAGCAGTTAATTAACTGTACAACAAATATAACACTGTGATATTTCTGTGACACCGACGACAAAAGTGAACTTGATTAAAACCAGTGTGCGTCTCCCGGCCCCGTCAATTCCCTGCCCGCAGTGTCGGCCCTCCTTTCTTAACCGTCCCGATGATTAACTGGAATCCTCGCGTCCAGGTACCGCTCGTTCACCTGGCGCTGTTAGACCTGTGTTGCCGCTATACGGGGGCGGTCCTTTTGATCTTGGTATCAGTAGCCGAGTATTATTTGTAAATATTTCGGACGAATCACCAGGTACAAGCTCTAAACGGTCCCTCGGCATATCTCTTGTGACACTGCAATGCTCTGAGACTCCTCAATCAACCAAGGGGCATTGTCCCGCGACACAAGGGGCCAAATGATACCATTAATGAGATGTTGATGGCAAGAAGAGGGCGTAAAGGGTAAGGCGTTCACCCGTCGACCCGCGACTCGGACGAAGCGATTAGGAATTGAATTAAAATCGATGCAGTCAAGCAATGCGTTTTGAATGTTAATGATTTTTTTGGAAACGGAATAGGCGCGCGTTGAAAAAAGTACCATTGATAGATTCTCCTCTAGTGTTAAAGAACCGGACGTCTCGAGTTCTGCCTGCTTTTATATTCAGTATTCAGAAGACAGATTGCAATTGTTTGACTTTATCTGCAAGCTCGCTGTCTATTTAGAGATTTCATCGCATGTCTTGTGTAACAAGTAGCAGAAAGAATAATTCATATCCAGCCGAATACGCCGCTTCTGTCACAATGCTGATACACAAAGCAGATATTGCTGAAGATACATTCAGTGAATGAGAACGGCGCCGCCAATGTGACAAAATTAGCAGCAACAATGACGACAGGATTTTCAAAACAAAACATTATTTTAAAAAGAATTTTTTGGATATTTGTCTAAAAATGACAAAATCTGGACAAAAGACCCAACTAGCTATGTATATATATATACAGTTTTATAGGATTTCGTTTGGGTTTTTTAAAGGATTTGACAATGCAAATGCTTTGTTTGAAGTTTTATAATTTGTTTTTTTTTTTCAACTTGTTTAAAGAATACTCGTAGTTATACAAAACATTTGTAGACTTACTGGACAGGAGTTACAAATTGTTTGACAAATCATGTGATTCTGTAAAATAGTACTTTATAATAACTGTACATCTTTAGGCAGAATGAAAAGGCATATTATTTACCAGTGTTGAGGCACATCTCTAAAACCCATGTCAAATTAATATAAATTTTTGGTTTTGTTGTCTTGACGTTTCATCTTATCTAAATTTTTTCAACAAGTTTCAAAATTCATAGATAGTAGAAATGGAATAGAAACGCTGCATCTACTTTTAAATTGGGTTCAAAAATATGTACCATATATCGACAGCAAATTTACTTGTCTGATGGAATCATCAAACTTGAATCCGTATCAAATATACGAACAGTATTAAATGAAAGCGTTGGGTTTTCTTCATGATTTGTTTCAAAAATGAATATTTATATCATAAGAGTTAGTGTTTTATCTTATTCAAATCAGCCATTATCTTGTAATCAACCGTGTTTCAAAATGCATACTAGACGGGGTTAGGACAATAATTGACAAATCTTTCGCCAAGGAGATCCCTCTATCCTGAAAAGAAATCCCTGCTTGGGAACTGTGCAAGTATTTTAACACAAGCCCTCCAAACACAAAAAGAAACGCCATTACAATAAAGCTTCTTAATCCCCGGGCTTTATTTCGCTTTTATCAGATGGTGTTTCATTTTCAAATAAGCTGGGTTTTCCTTGCCAGTCTTAAGGAAATTCCCGGTGGATTTTACCTGTTATTTTATGAACACAATCTCACAATTTAACAAGATTGCACGATCGCCGGTCGATAATTTGCCGTGATTTATTGACTTTTCCCTTCCAATTGACATTTAAATCAGTCCGTAGTTGAGCGTTTAATCAACTACATGCGACTAAAATGACGTTAGAAAGAGACCTTGTTAGAATCGTGTCTAGATTAAGCCTGATTAGGCGGGATTCGGACCACTTTTATTAAATCTCTATTAAATAAAGCCTTTGGAGCGAATATACACTCCGTCTAGTCACATCCATGGCCACAGTGCAACAGAAACGCGAGCAGAAAAAAAACAAAGACGACGTCTACAAGACAACAAGAAACTTGGGAAATATTTACAGCTTCATTGATTTTATTGTTGGCAAAAATGATCTGACATGACGTTATGATATTAAGTAAATGGGTAAACGCTGTCGCTCGATGTTTTGCATTATATTATGATGTTCACTTGTAAAGAAGTGAAATGTGTACTTTTGCGGTTTCCATCCATATCCCAAAATTCGATTGATCGGTCGGCACTCTTGAAGAACGTTTCAAAGTCGAGGTTTTTGTGGTCACTGTCCGGTCAACATGGAATCTAATCTAATGCTATGAAAAAAGGCTGGGTGTCTCTAATTTTCTCGTCTGTTTCCGTTGACTGAACGCTAAATGTCAACTAAAAGTACGAATAAGCAACAATAGAATTCAAAGGAATAGAATAGCAAAACAAAACAAAACAAAAAATTATAATAACATTGGCGCAAATAAGGCTGGGGACTCTTCATCTGAAACCGCCATTTCCATGATTATTCTAATTTGAACAGCTGGCATCACAAACTCGATAATAAAAGGTTTTGGTGAAAAGGTAATACTTTCTAAAGATACCAAATATGTGAGTTTTCTTCTTTTTGTTATTTGGCATGACGTTTCGACCCTCTTTGAATAGGCCTGAAACGATTAAATTTTTGACTGTCTTTATAAAAGAGGCAATAAAAACCATACTGCACCAAATCAAAAGGAATTGTTCTAGAAAATGTATTCAAAACAACACTGCCTCTGTTTTTCCATTAATGAACTTTTTTTTGCCCCCTCGTTTTGCCCGGTTTCATCATTTCCACACCAACACCCCCACACGCAAGTTAACACAGTGACGCACTACTTAATATCGCGCATTCATTTTTATGACTCGGATTTATGACTTTGTCGTTAATTCCGCAAACAATTATTCCTCGCAACCAATTTCATCATCGCCATCGTATTCTCATTTCTAAAAGATGCAATTTTGTTCATCGCAAAATGATAGAAAAATAGATGAGTCTAAATCACCGTGATGTCGCCGAGACTTGGCTGACTAGATAGAAGTATTGATCAAAATCTTAGTTCTCGGCCTCAACGCTGACGCACTTGTTCGGAAGACAGTTTACTGCCATTTGATAATAGATACATTACAATCTCTATATTTGTGCTACTTCA